CACACACACACACACACACACACACACACACACACACACACACACACTTGGGTTATATTTTTTCAAAGTACAAATTTAGCCTTTGCGTTTCTAGCACCCATGAACCATTTATGAACCATTTATCTTCTCTGTCCTTCACTAGAGAGGACATAGTGTTTGGTAGCAGGTCTATTTCCTTATCTCAAACCAAGGCAAATATTGTTGAGTGCAAAGGTCATATGTATAAGACATTTCCATAGGAATAGCCTTACAAAAAGAAGTAGCTAATGAGCCTCAGCCAGTGGTTTCATTCAGCATGTAGACTGTTACAATTAATTAGAATTGGTCTTTATGAGATCCAATCTTCACCACTAATGAAAAACAAAGACAGAAGATATTCCGCGAATTGGGACTCTGCCTGCAGACCTGGTTGTCTTGAAATGTTCCTTAAAGTCTTCAGGGTAATTTTAAACATCTGAAGATTTGTACTGGGACCATGCTACCACCCCTGTTCTCTTCTACCCCTCACAGTTCAATAAACCTGGTGCCATAACCAGCCTGCATGGTGGCCAAACAGACTGAGGAAAATACTATAGAAGGGAAACACTTTTTGTCTTAGACTCTGCTCTTCTAGCACAAAGCAACTGACCAATGTGCAACTCTTGCAAAGTAAAGAGAGGAAGAAGCCAAGAACCCTTAAACTTACATAAGACATCCTGGTAGTTGACAGTACAATCTAGAAATAATTCAAAATGCCTGTCAGACACCTCGTCTTGCAATTACATTTCACAAAATGATTTTTAACTATCTAGATTTTAATCTCATTTAACCTCTGAAAATATTTTACTTCTCCTTACTATTTGTTGATGATAAAATTATGCCTACCATTTAATACTAATAAATGATTACCCTCGCTTAATATTCTACTTATTTGTGACTTTTTAAATACCAGTATTTGAATTGGACACATCTGCATTTATCATTATTTATTTTGGTCTAAAAAAGATAACAATAGTAAATTGAACTTGAGAGAAAGTGACAAATATCTTGACACATAGTGCAATTTTTCTACATTTAGTGTTTCAGTGTTAACGAGCAGCCAAGAAATGATACTATTTTTCCTTTCAGCTGTTTACCTCTGCAAGAGAACAATGCAAAACAAGGCAAGGCTAGAACTAGCCGATTATGAAGCCGTAAGTACCAAGGATGCTCCTACAGTGGTATAAAACCATCACAAATCAAGCCTTTGGTCATATCTGGGTTCTCTGTGCCTTTTTACATGGATGAATCCTAAGGACCAGGCTTCACAGCCCAGTGATTTTATGACCTCTCTCTGTCTGCTTCCTCTTTCCCCTCACATTAAGGACAGCAGAATTCTAGCATATGAATTCAACGTATAAAGAGAAGTACATCTTATTCTTTTATACTAACTTAATTGTAAAGATTTCAGATACATACTACATCGATAATGTCTGAACTGTGAGGATGGAAAACTGTTTATATTGGGGGCCGATTTAGCAGGACCATCCGATTGATTGCTCCCATCAGTCGAAGGCAGTCTAGTGTAATTTGTTCTAATGATTGCTGTGTTGTGATAACTAATTCAGAGTACTCTGCAAAAGTAGATCCTGGGCTGCCAAGATTGATAACTACTCTCAGGACCTGAACCAATCGATTGGATCAGTGGTGGGAAGGCATTGTTTTCCTGTCTCCGTAGGATGGGCACAGAAAGATCCAGTGAATTGGTCTTCAGTAGAAACAAAGGAATATTTGGTGCTTTGCATTGTGTTTCCTGCAAGATGATTGCTATTGATTGGTGCCTGGGACAGTAGCTTGGTTGGTAAAGTCCTTGCCTAGCACACAGAAAGCTTTGTTTTCTATCCTCAGCATGATACACACACACACACACACACATACTTGTATGTATGTGTGTATTCCCCTTACTAGGGAGGAAGTTCAAAGTCATCTTCAGCTACATCATGAGTTAGAGGTTAGCTTGGGCCCATGAATCCCCTATTTTGAAAGTTCTGGAAGCACAGTTGATTCAGATTTCGAGCATATATAACACTTTAGAAATTCTGAAAGGAACACTAGAATATATTCAGCTGTCCTATGTTTTTTTTAGGAGAGCCTTGCCAGGCTGCAGAGAGCATTTGCCCGGAAGTGGGAGTTCATTTTCATGCAAGCAGAAGCACAAGCAAAGTGAGTCATTGTGAGTCTGTGGGGAGATTTGCTCAGGTGCGGCCTTCTGTGCAGAGGTGGTTCAATTAGTTCTGCTAACTCTTCATTGTTCTCACATTGACAGGGTGGATAAGAAGAGAGACAAAATCGAAAGGAAGATTCTCGACAGTCAAGAGAGAGCATTCTGGGATGTTCACAGGCCTGTGGTGAGTAAACTAGCATGTTTCCATGAACTCATGTCTTAGGTTTGGAAGAAAAGGGTGCCCTGGATCAGACCAGGTCCCCTCATAGTATATCCCAGTGTCTGGGTGAATTAGTTAAGGAAAGATTGCTGCCTCTGTATAAGATGAGGCTTCATGCAACACATATTTATAAAAGGATACATTTCCCCCTAATATGGCTAGACAGCTAACTCTGAACAGCCAAGCTTTGATGCTGTTGCCAACACTTGAAGGGGAAAAAAGCACACGGTTAACAGAGCAGTATTTTTTTATGCTTAATATTTACTTTTTTGGCTTTGTAGAGAAAGTTAGACTCAAAATGTAATTGCTTGCCTTGATTTTCTTCTTTATAACTTATTAATGCTTATTGTATCTCTTGAATTTAAATCATTAAATTTAACTCAGTTCACACTGCCTAAATTTTTCTTTTTGCATTTGTTTTTTATTTTGTGTATGAGGGTTGGAGCACATGTTATGGTAAGAGAATAGCTCATGGGAGTTCATCCTCTTCATCTGGACACCGGGGACTGAACCTGAATGTTAAGCTTTGTGGCAAAGGCCGTTATGCTCCGAGCTATCTCACCAATCCAGAAATTCATACTTTTAATGACTCAACTTTGAGTCTATATAAGAACCTAGCTCTTTTCTCTTTAATATTGTCAAACTAAGTGCCTCACTAGAACAAGTACTGAATGTCCTTAATACCAGAAAACTGGTGGAAGCTGTTTAAGTGTGGTTCAAGCCTCCTCAAGATAGCATATCTCCTGTGCATGGTACCACAAGTATGTAAGCCTAGCCCTCAGGAGGTTGAGGCAGGAGGATTGAGTTTAAAGTCATATTAGGATATATAGCAAGACCCTGCCTCTAGAGAACCATGCAAGAGGCTAGAGAAATGTTTCAGTGGTTATGAGCCTATTCTGCTCTCTTCCAGAGGGTCTGGGTTCAGTTACCCATAGTGGGAGACTCCCAACTTCCTACAACTCCAACCTTAGGGGTTTCATCGACCTCTTCTGGCCTCCATGGAAACTGGTTTTCAAATGTTCAAGCATGCATGTATATGTGTTAGTGCATATTTGCACACATGTGCACACATATACACACATACACAATTAAAATGATAAGTTAATAATGAGCCAAATAAAAAGATCACAGGTCTAGCCTCATTTTTGTTTTACAAAGATATCTTTCTCTTCTATGAATTTCGTTAACTACAGATAGATCACTAGAGAATATTTATATAGGCATTACCAGAATTAATAATAGGTTTGCGGCAGGAAAAAGAATTCACAACAGATGACTTAAAGATATCTTAAAATTTTTCTCTCAACTGCCTTCTGAGTCAGAACAAAATAGAAGGAATCCAGAGATGTGTTTGCAAATGTATGTATTTCTATTCAGACAGCAATGCAGTTGTTAAGTTTTATTTTGAATTTGTTGCCATTTGAATTCTCGAGAGAGAGGGATTGAACTACCTGGCTTTTCTATTCAAAGTACAAGTGGAGTTTTATTACTTTTGGTAAAGAAGGAATTATGAGATCATGCACACAAACATCATGAGGATATAAAACAGAATTTCTCCTTCTTTAAAGCAGCCTCCAGACTCTAGAGATACCTTGCTACATTCGTTGCTTTCCGACACTGTGTTGGAATTTCCATAGAGCAGCTCAGGAAGGAAGGATTCATGCTTTCAAAGGGTTCAGTCTACCGTGTTGAAGAAGACAGAGAAGAGGTCTATTCACTTCATGGTGGGCCAGAAAACACACACAGAAGGAAGTAGTCAGGGAAAATGTTCCTTTATGGACTTTCTCTTGATCAACGACTTCCTTCAGCTGAACTCCACCGCCTAGGGTTTCCACAACGTTCCAAAACAGCGCCACCTGCTGGAAACAGCGCGATGAAGTCATGAGCCTGCAGAGGGTGTTAATTCCAATATCCTCTGCATAATGCAGCATAGTCCCATGTTTAATTATGCTATCTTATTTATCCTTTTTATTCCTCCCTGAAGCCATAGGCTCTATACCCCCAACAGAGACAACAGGCAAATCTTTGTTATCTGTTTTCTAAAGAAAAGAACTTAGATTGTCATTGTGCTTTGGTGAGCGTTAGTCTCCTAAACCAGCCCTACCCTCAATTGTTTACTGTCTTCATGCTATAGCGCTATACATAACTTCAAGGCATGTCCAAACTTTAGACATGGCAAAGCATAATGTTGTCATCTACAGAGTTTGTGGTTGAGAACCATGCTATCAAGTTACAACTTGCATAATATTTCAAGTAAGTTTCTGATTTTGTTGTTGTTGTTGGGTATGATTTTGTTTCTCGCTAGACTCATAGCTATCCTTGACTGTGTATGGCTAAGGACTGTCCATGTCTGCATGAGAAGTAATATCTGTTAATATTTGAAGTTTTTAAACATTTTTGAATGGTTCCAAACTTACAAATGACAGTCCTTGTCTGGCAGCCATGCCTGCTACTGCGAAGGTACCTCATCTTTCATATTTCTGGGGAATTACTGAGGGATAACTCAGAAAGACAATGAAATCAGGGACTCTGGCCTCAAGGATGGCTTCAGAGAGTTTTGATTTTGTGACTTCTCACTCAGTACATAAACTGTATCTCTTCACTGACTGCAGCACTAACTAAAAAAAAAAAAAGAAGTTTCTTTTCCTTTCTTTTTTTTAAGATTTATTTTATTTTATGGGTATAATTATTTTGTCTGTGCACCATGTGTTTGACTGACACCCAGAGACAGCAGCAGAGGGTGTCAGATACCCTGAAACTGGTGTTTTAGATAGTTTAAGTCACCATGTGTGTCCTGGGAATCAAACCCAGGTCCTCAGGAAGAGATGCCAATGATCATAAATGCTGATCCATCTCTCCAGCCCCTGAAAAGGGCTTCCTAAGATAATCGTCCCTCAGAAATAAAATGGCGCAGGGAAGAGAAAGGAGACCTGGAATGAATCAAGGCTTGTGGGGAGGAAGAGGAAAAGAAAGGAAGACGTGGTCCTGGAAATTGTCCTGACAGGGATTTCTAAGGAAAACAGAAAAGCTGTGACCCTCAATGCTCATATGCTACCAGATGGCTAGACACTGATCAAACCACGGCTCTGTTGTCGCTATGCCTGCATAGGTGCTCTAGGATATTTGTGCTCTTTCACTGTCCATTCTTCGGTGCTGCTCTCTGAATTGCTTCGCAGTGAAAGCTTCACAGCTTTTGCTGTCCACAGGTCAAATGAAATGCAAGATGCCTCTACATGTCTAATCTCATTACTGTTCAGCCTACCGCGGCATTTTATAAATGAGGCACTTGCATCTCCAGGCAGATCTTCAGCCCAGGAATGTCTAGCAAATCTATTACTACCCATCTCCAAAGTATCCCATTTCTGCCACTTATGACAGGGCATGAAGAGGCAGCTTGCTTATCGGAATATGTATTTGTCATCAACCCTGAAATACAGGATTCTGTCTCTTCATACTGACTTGGGATTGATTGCAACAGATGTGACAGTCATTTCAGGGATAGGCAGAGAGGTGTAGCCCTTCTTGGAAATCATGGCACTTTACTTTTTTTTTTTTTCTGCGTCATCTTATTAAGAGGGACGGCAGTGGGCTTTCATAATTACAAGAATGAAAACAGTGAAAAAATTACATAGAAAGACACTTTGAGACATCTATCATCTAGAATCTTGCTATCTATTCATCTTTCCTTTGGAAAGGATGGATACATGTAGCTAGGATGATAGCCTGGTGCTTTTTATAAAGAGCAGGTTGGCCTCAAGCTCACAGAGATCCATCCATTTGCCTCCGCCATCAGACTGCTGGAATTAAAAATGTGTGCCACCCTATCCAGCCTTATTATAACTTTTAGAAAACTAACTGAAAACCCATGACATGGGGTACAAATGTAGTTTTCTCTGGAGAGTGCTGGCCTAGAATTAAAGAAGCCCTGGGTTGAATCTCAGAACTGAAACACCATGCCTGACAGCGTCTCCCTATAATCCCAGGATTCAGGAGGTGGAACTAAAGGAAGAAAAACCTCAAAGTCATCTCCTACTACACAGTGAGCTCCAGAGGTCAGACTGGGCTAATGAGATTCTGTTTCAAAAGTAAAAATTTGAAAAAAGGAGGAGGAGGAAGGAAAAAGAAGCAAAGAAAAAGAAAATCTATGATTCTCAATCTTAAAAGCATAAAGATAATAGATATTTCTATTACACTAAAAGGCCCTAAACTCATCACTTTTTAGTAGTAAGACACAATCAAAATCAGTTGTTTAAGTAATATAATTAGATTTTCCTGGAATAATTTATATTTATAAAATATAAGAAATATCATTATTTTTAATAACTGGAAATTGAGTTACCTGAACAATGATGTTTGTTGATGTTTTAATAAAAATATACACCTAGCATCAGTCCTTAGAACGTTGCTGTTTCCAGCAGAGCGGATTTGCTGCTTCGGGTATGCCTGACTGGTCTTGTTTTGATCTGGTTCCATTTATTGAATCAGGAACAGAATGAGCAGACTGCAACTGCAGCTCAGCATCTCACAGGCTTAGAGCTGGCTTAATGAGATATTATGATACAGTGCATGAATTTAAACCTAGCAATGTAGGAAATACATCTAATGGGGTTTTAATATGATTTTTTTTAACCATGAGGTCATCCTTAAGTCAGATTAGAAAAAAGAATCTGTTTCTTACATTTAATACCTTCATGAAATAAAGTTAGCTTCTCTAAGTGTGTCACTGTTTACCCTGGAAAAACTAAATTGAGGTCTAATCAAGGAGGCAGACTCTTTACTTGCCAAGAATTCCCAGAAACATCTCAAGAACACAGTGGGAGAAACAGATAGATTTTTTTATATTGACAATAATGTGGGATTTGTTTTTCTTCTGTATAGTTAATGTTATAAAGAGCTTATTTTATTTTACTTCTGCAGTGCTGGGGCTTAAACCACTGAGCCACACTCCCAGCCCATCTGAGCCC